AGCACTTGCTCACTTCCTGTTTCTGAGTCACATTTTGGTAATTGAAATATTTCAAACTTTTATTTATTTATATTTTATGGTGATTGCTGAAAATGATCTTTGCCATTACTGTTGTTATTGTTTCTGGTTTCTACAAACTGTTCCCGTACAAAACAGCAAACTTAATGTTCTGACTGCTCAATGACAAACTATTTCCCTCTCTCTCCCCCTCTCCTCAGACCTCCCTATGCTCTGTGACAAATGATATTAAATTTGGGCCAATTAATAACCCTATGATAATCTCTAAGTGTTCAAGTAAAAGAGTCACACATCTCTTACTTTGAGTAAGCCTAGATATGATAAAGCTTAGTGAGGAAGGCATGTTGAAACCTGAGCTAGATTGAAAGATAGTTCTCTAGCATCAAATAGTTAGCCAAGTTCATGAAGGAAATTAAAAGTGCTATGCCAGCCGAAAACGGTTTGGCTCAGTGGATAGAGCATCAGCCTGCGGACTGAGGGGTCCCGGGTTCAATTCCAGTCAAGGGCATGTACCTTGGTTGCGGGCACATCCCCATAAAGGGGTGTGCAAGAGGCAGCTGGTCGATGATTCTCCCTCATTGATGTTTCTAACTCTCTGTCCCTCTCTCTTCCTCTCTGTAAAAAATCAATAAAATATATATATATTTTTTTAAAAAAAGTGTTATAACACATGAATGATAGAAACTGAACAGCCTATTGTCAAATAGAGAACGTGTTAGTGGTCTGAACAAGAGATCAGATGAGCCACAAAATTCCTTAAAGCCACAATCTAATCTAGAACAAGGCTTACCTCACCTCAAATTCCACAAAGGCTGATAGAGTTGAGGAAGCTGAAGAAGAGTTGGAATATAGCGGAGGTGGTTCATGAGGTTTGAGAAAAAAAACTGTCTCCATAAGATAAAAGTGCAAGGCGAAGCAGCAAGTGCTGATGGAGAAGCTGTAGCAAATTATCCAGATCTGGCTAATATAATTAATGAAGTGGCTACACCAAGCAATCAATTTTCAATGTAGACAAAATAGCCCTTTACTGGAAAAAGATGCCAACTAGGACTTTCATAGCTAAAAAGAAGTTAATGCCTGGCTTCGAAGTTTCAGAGGACAGGCTGCCTCTTCTGTTATTGCTAACGTATTAGGTGAAATTAAATTGAAGCCAGTGCTCATTTACCATTCTGGAAATTCTAGGGCCCTCAAACATTATACCCAACCTGGTATGCCTGTGCTCTATTAATGGTGAAATACAGTCTGGAAGCAGCACATCTGTTTACAACATGGTTTACTGAATATTTTAAATCCATTGTTGAGATCTACTGCTCAGGGCAAAAGATTCCTTTCAAACAATTGCTGCTCGTTGACAATGTTCCTGGTTACCCAAGAGCTCTGATAAAGATGTACAATAAGATTAATGTTGCTTTCATGCCTGAAAATACAACATCCATTCTGCAGCACATGGGTCAAAGCTTAGATTTGATTTTCAAGTCTTATTATTTTAAAAGGCTATTATTTAAAAAGGCTTATTATTTCATAAGGCTATTCCTGCCCAAGATTTCTCTGATGGATCTGGGCAAAGTAAATTGGAAGCCATCTGGAAAAGATTCGCCGTTAAGAACATTCGTGATTCATGGGAAGAGGTCAGTCAGTAAATTAAGATTAGCAGGAGTTGGAAGAAGTGGCTTCCAAACCTCATGGATGAATGACTTCAAGGGATTCAAGACTCCAGTGGAGGAAGTAACTGCAGTCTTGGAAACAGTGTGGAAATGTGCATGGAAATAGGGAACCAGAATTAAAAGTGGAGCATGAAGATGTGACCAAATTGCTACAAACTCATGATAAAACTCTTTTTAAAAAAAAATATATTTTATTGATTTTTCACAGAGAGGAAGAGAGAAATAGTTAGAAACATCGATGAGAGAATCATCGATGAGCTGCCTCTTGCACATCCCCTACTGGGGATGTGCCCGAAACCAAGGTACATACCCTTGCCCAGAATCGAACTCTGGACCTTTCAGTCCACAGGCCGACGCTCTATCCACTGAGCCAAACTGGTCCCAGCCATGATAAAACTCTTAACAGAAGAATTTCTTTTGTTTTTTCTTGAGTTGAAATATATACCATGAAAATGCTGTGAAGATTATTGAAATGACAAAAAAGAGTTAGAATACTAAGTAAACTAGTTGATAAAGCAGTGTCAGAATTTGATAGGATTAAGTTCAATTTTGAAGGAGGTTCTGTGGCTAAAGTGTGATTATTAAGCATCTCAGGCTATAGAGAAATTGTGCATGAAAGAAATAGTGCAGCAAACTTCATTTTCTTATTTTAAGTAATTTCACAGCTACTGCAATCTTCAACAACCATCACCCTGACTAGTCAGTACCATCTTCATCAAGCCATCAGCAAAATGTTTATAACTCCCTCAAGGCTCAGATAATGGTTAGCATTTTTAGAAATAAAGTATTTTTAAATTAAAGTATGCACATAAGCTTTTTATACATAATGCTATTGCACACTTAATAGACTGTAGAGTATAAATAAACATTACTATATCACGGGGAAGTAAAAAATGTTGTGACTCATTTTATTGTGATATTCACTTTATTGCAGTAATCAGAACCAAACCCACATTATCTTCAAGTATGTCTACATTATTGTTTGTGTCTTCCTTCCAGGAGCACACAACCCTTGGCACAGGGTAGGATTCTTTTGGGTTTTGTGAATATTAACTGAGCTGTAAACTATGTGTTAGTTCATTACTGCCATTCTATTACTTACAGTAGCAAATTTTCCATTATATGCAAATATGATACCATAATCATACCTAAGTTCTTTTATTTTCACCGTTCCAATTTGGGTTGATTTTTTTCCTCCTTGACTTCCCAAAAGTATAAGAAAAGATACCACCCATGCTCCATTTTTTAATTTTTTGCTTTTTTTTTTTCATAGTAGAAGTAAGCAGTGACTTAACAATGGATGCTGGAACACTGAGAGCATTGAACATGCTTGTTGAATAGAGACTATAGAGCAGTGGTTCTCAACCTTTCTAATGCCACGACCCTCTAATACAGTTCCTCGTGTTGTGGGGACCCCCAACCATAAAATTATTTTCATTGCTACTTCATAACTGTAATTTTGCTACTGTTATGAATCGTAATGTAAATATCTGTGTTTTCCAGTGGTCTTAGGCGACCCTGCTAGTGGTCTCAGCCTGTGGAGCTTAAGAGGGAGAGAGAGAATCAAGAGAGAGAATCATTGATTGGCTACCTCCTGCGTGCCCCACACTGGGGATGGAGCCCACAACCAAGGTATATGCCCTGACCGGGAATCGAATGGTGACTCCCTGGCTCATTGGTGGACACTCAGTCACTGAGTCATGCCAGCTAGGCAGTGCATTTGTTTTTGGTTTTGACACAGCTGGAGATATCTGTGAAACATCCAAATGGACATTTCTATTTAAACAATTGGTTACACATCTGTGAGTTAGAATTTGAGTCTGGAGTACAGGCATCGTAGAAATATTAATTGATGTGGTGAATGTAAACAAGATTGCCTCAATAAAAAGAGATGGGGGTATAAGAGAAATCCTTGACTACTCTAAACTTTAATTGTTGATTAAGGAGGGTATGTTTGTGAGGGATAGTGAGTAGGTGGCCAGAAAAAGAAAACTTTATGGTTTTTCCATGTTACCCAGAAGGGGTCCATAGAGCCTCATCCTAGAGCAGTGGTATGCAAACTGCAGCTCTTGAGCCACATGCGGCTCTTTGGCCCCTTGAGTGTGGCTCTTCCACAAAACACCACGTGTGGGTGCGCACACGTACAGTGCGATTGAAACTTCATGGCCCAAGCACAGAAGTCGGTTTTCGGCTCTCAAAAGAAATTCCAATTTTTGTACTGTTGATATTTGTCTCTGTTGCCTAATGAGTTTGCCAACCGCTGTCCTATGTTAATGTCTATAGCTCTTAAGATCCTAAAGATGGAAAATGTAGATGTCATCACATTTCTGGCTGCAGGAACATGATTAAGTTATACTAACTTTTACAATGGAAAAAAAATTAATATTTATTTTGTAAATTTGAAGAATGCCCAGGAAAAGTGTCTGCTAGGACCTTGGCCATAACTGACATTGGCAGTCAAGCTGGCATCAGTGTCTTATATTTCTGGAACACTGCCACCATGTTGATACTTGATTTCTGGAACTTTCATTAACTAAATACAAGCAGAGGAGGGTTCTTATCTTAATGGTCTCACCATTACAGTGAGTTCACAGATAGGTTGATACATTATTTGGATCTTGCCATCCTATACCATAGGCCGGCTCACTCTGTGAGTCAATATGGTTGAAGAATCTTGGCTGTGTGTGGTGCCATTCATGTGAGCATCCATGGATGTCATTCCTGATCTCTATTTATATAGAAATCCGCAAGAGATTAGAAAGGGAAAGCAGGCACCTGCTGCAAAGGTTGTGTCCAGGCGGGGTTTGAGGATGATAGATCAATTTCTGATGCCTAAACAAGATTTCATACTAGTTTAAAGGTATGTAGATGGCCTATGTGACTTTTTGGCAGTTCTCTCCTGAAGACTGGGGCACTCAGCTTGTCACAGAACCTGCAACTCCCACTGCTTAGTCCAATGACAAAGTAAACACATCCATAGAATAGTCTGAAGAGTTCATAGACAAGCTCGCAAACAGACTACGAAATAAGGTCGATGGAAAATAACAGTCTTTTATTCTGTCTATACTGGGCCTCTTTTGCTCCAAGTCCATTTCAGTCACATGCCAGTCTAGCCACACCCTTGCCTCCAGTGCCACAGGAATGAGCCCTCACATCCAGGTATCAACTCTGAGATCACTACTTCTGAACAAAAGCTCCTGTTTTCTCTTCTCCTAATTCCTTGTTTCCACTTCATTTTTGAGTATTGTACCTTGTGTCCTCATCATTTCAACCTTTTCTAGTTTCATTATATCCTTCCTCCCCTCTATTTACCTTCAGACAATACACAGTTGAAATGAGAATTTCCACAGCAGAGGTATAAACGGAGAGAATAAATATGATAATACAGGATGTCTTCTGACTCTTTTTTAACTTAAAATTTTGTTGGGAAGATTTGTTTGTGCTTTCCAAGCTAACTCTTATTCATTGTTTTTCACTGCTGTATAATATTTATTGACTGTAACTACTATAATTTGTTGATGTGTTCTCTAGGCCGTGGCTTTTTTTTCGTTTTTAATTAATACATTCTGCTAGAAGATATATATATATCTTCTAGCAGTATGTGTGTGTGTGTGTGTGTGTGTGTGTGTGTGTGTGTGTGTATATAATGCATTAAAATATGGAGGGGGTATACATACTCTGAGCCTTTGAATATATCCAAATTCTACTCTGCAACACTGCCAAGGTCATATTGCCAATCACTTTCTTAATCATCAATATGTAAGATAAACTGATAATCCACTCCCTCCTAAACTTTTTTTTTTAATTTGCTCATCAAATGTGTTAAATGCCACTGTGGTTTTGTTTTGTGTTTCCTTATTGTCTATTGCTATTCATCTTCTATTTGTTTCATATTCTTTGAAATGTCTACTCTGGACTTTTAACATAGTGTCTATTGTGTGTGTTTTAAATGATTTCTATTGTTGATGTTATCCAATCTGTTATTTGGTTTTATTTGCTGCAAACATACCCATCCCATATGTTACTGATGTATTTTTCACTTTAAAGTCTGTTTGATGAACAGAGGTTGCTAATCTTAATGTTCCCAAATTTATCATTCTATTATTTTATTATTAGCACTCTTGGTACCCTGTTTAAACAATGCTTCTTTAAATGATAACAGAATGGTATTCTTCTACGTGTTGTTTCTAAAAATTTGTTTGACTTTTTAATTTCAGTTTAACTTAAATATGTGCATAACTTTTTTCCTCCCAGCTGTATATCCATGTTTCCCTCATTTAATTTGTTGAACAGTATCTCCTCTCGGTGATCCACTATGCTTTGTCAGGAACACATTAGGATTCCCTGTATGCATAGGTCTGTTTCTGGGTTTTATATTTCATCCTTTCTTATTTTTTGTCTTCAAAAGTACCTTGTTATATCATCTAGATTTCAGAATCAATCATTTGTGCTACCAAAAAATACATATTATTGCTGAAACTTTAACCAGATTAAATCAAATCTTTGTAGAAATTTGAAATTTCTCTGATCTAATTTGTATTTCTTTGATCTTATTTGTATTTCTTTGATCTTATTCTTACCCATAAACACGTACCTTGTCTTTGGTCCCTTACAATTTTTGTACATAGTTCTCACACACATATTTGTTTTATTTATTCCTAGGTGATTTATATTTTTTGTAGCTATTGTAAATGATGTCTATTTTAAAATGTCCATTTTTATGCTGTTTGTTGTTTGTATATAGGAATGTGTACAAATATATAATATATATGCACATAAATTATGTATATTTTATATATACTATATATACACATATAAACCTTGCTAAACTCTTTAATTTCTACATAGTTGTCTAGATTATTTTGGGATTTTCAATGTAAATAGTCACATAATATGCAAATAACGAATGTCTTATTTCGGCTTCCAGTCTTTCATTTCTAAGTTTCTTCTTGTCTTCTGGAGCTAACTATGGTCTCTAATACAGTGCTGAAAATAATAGGCAGTGGTCAACACCCTTCTCTTTTTTAGACTTTAAGAGGGATGTTTCCAGTCTACCTGGCATTACTGTTTTTACTTCAGTCTTTTGAGACTGCTAATTACATCATTATCTCCACCGAAATTATTTTCTTTCCCACCGGTATTTTTCTAGATTTTCTCAAAGGCTGTGCTGAACCTCAGGTTACAAAAATATATATGAACTATAGTTTGTCCCCAGGGACAGACTTTGAAGGAGGCACAGAAGTAAATAAGTAAATGTCCTCCAATACTTTGGATTCTTTGTATATGCCTGTACAGAGGCCAGGCCGTCATTATCTTTGGCCTTTAAATGCAAGCACTTTCTAATTTTCCTATTTCCAGTGTTTTCATGTCTAAATCTACTCCTCACACTCCAAATAATAATAGAACATGATAAATCAACATGCTGCCAAGAAGGAAAATAGTCTTCCATTGTTTTTTTTTTCTGTTACCTTTGATATAAATAGTAGTGTTGTGTCACACCATTTAGAAACATTTTGAACTATACGTAAACTAATTCCAGACTATCTTGTTTAGCCATTTCCATTATTGCACCCATATGCTCTCTGTTTCAAATAACTGAATAATAATGTTGCCATGAATTATTTATGTCCTACACTTACTGTGCCTGATAGGTTTTTATGCCCTTCTCCCCCATCAGAGCTTTCTGCTAACTTTTCATGGTCTAGGTCGGTGGTCGGCAAACTCATTAGTCAACAGAGCCAAATATCAACAGTACAATTGAAATTGCTTTTGAGAACCAAATTTTTTAAACTTAAACTTCTAACGCCACTTCTTCAAAATAGACTTGCCCAGGCCATGGTATTTTATGGAAGAGACACACTCAAGGGGCCAAAGAGCCGCATGTGGCTCGTGAGCTACAGTTTGCCTACCACTGGTCTAGGTCACAGATAGAAATGTATTGAGATCTACTTTTGAAGTCTTCAAAATTTAGCAGTGTCTTTCACATACTGGGTGCATAATTTTTTGTCATACAATTTTTTTTCATTTTGGAAATAATTTTAATTTACATTTTACTAGAGGCCCAATGCATGAAATTTGCACAGGAAGGGTCTCTCAGCCCGGTCTGTACCCTCTCACAATCCTGGCTCCAGACTGCCTGCCTGCTCACTCCTTACTGCTTCTGTGGAGGCAGGAGAAGCTCCTGAAACCACAGCTGAGCTCACCAGCCATGAGCCCGGCTTCTGGCTGAGTAGTGCTCCAGCTGTGGAAGCACAAGGACCACCAGTGGGCATCTCCTGTGTTGAGTGTCTGCCCCCTGGTGGTCAGTGTGAATCATAGTGACCAGTCATTCTGCAGTTAGGTCGATTTGCATATTACCCTTTCGTTATATATGAAAAATATACTGAAAAATTTTTCATTATATATGAAAAATATACTGAAAAATATAAGTAAATTGGTTTAAAAGCTAATTAAATATCAGTAGAAGTATGAAGATAGAATTTAAAAATGTTCTGTATCTGTAGTGGCTACAGAAAAGAACTAATATACATCATATATTTATGATAGTTTCAAGTGCATATTATGTTTTATGGGTTTCTTTTCTGTGATACCATGCTTAATGTTGTTGGTTTTTAATTTATCAATTCTTACTGAAGTAAATCTTATTTGTCACTTGTGTTAGCAATATTTTTATTAAGGCTTTTTGAGAGTCTTTAAATTATTATTTCTTTTTTTAAATATATTTTTATTGGTTTCAGAGGAGAAGAGAGAGATGGAGAGAGACAGAAACATCAATGATACGAATCATTGATTGGCTGCCTCCTGCATGCCCCACACTGGGGATCAAGCCTGCAACTTGGTCATGAGCCCTGACTGCGAATCAAACCATGACTTCCTGGTTCTTAGGCTGGCACTTAACCACTGAGCAATACAGTGTGGGATAAAAATTATGATTTCTGATAGACTTCCTTCTAAAAGAAATAATTTAAAATATGTTAATTCCATACATGCTTCCTAAACACCTCTATATATCTGATTCAATGCTTAGCAAGCAGACCATTTCCACTTTTTCCCCAGAGAGCTTACAGGATAATGGGTAGGTAAACATTGTGCAACTAATTACACCGATCAACATATTGTTACATATTAGACAAATCATCCAGAATTGTGAGTAGAGAGAAAACAGAGGATGTTGTTTACATTCATGAGTAAAGGTGTCTCCAAATAAATAAAATGTTAGGTTAAATTGTGAAAATTAGAATTGAGAAGGCAGGTGACAGTTCTAAGGAAGAGCCACTCAAGGTTAGTATGTATGAAAACACAAAGATAGGGAATACAGATGATGGTATAGCCCAAGAACAGTGAGTGAGAAAAAGTGTGATTTGAAAGTGAGATTGGCATTTAACCACAAACTGACTCTTTAGAGACTTTGATGCTCATCTAATGAATTCAGTATTAGTACAGTCAGAGCAATAAATGATTTTTATTGGGGAGTTATGTGATCAAATTTGAGTTTTCAAAGTTAATTTTGGCAGTTGTGTTTCCAGACGAACACCTAAATAACCATTAGGGGCATTCATGAGCCTGTCACCTTAAACAAAAAGTTGAAAATACATGGCTATCTACACTGAGTGGCCAGATTACTATGATTTATTATATAATAAAAGGCTAATATGCAAATTGTCCCCTCAACCAGGAGTTCTGCCAGCAGACAGGCTGGCCAACTGCCCATTTCCCCTTCCCCTGGCCAGGTTGGCCGGACCTCACCCATGCACAAATTCATGCACCAGGCCTCTAATATATATATTGAGTGGCCAGATTATTATGCATTCAGAGATCATAATAATTTGACCACTCAGTATATATATATATATATATATATATATATATATATATATATATATATATATATATATATGAAGCCTTACTTTGCTTCATATATATACATCAAAAAACATAATGTATTTGCATCATGTATGTAGATCTCTACTTTCAGACTGTAGGAACAAGAAGTAGCTCTACTTTCTTTGTCTTTTTTTCTGTAAAACAGAAAAAAAAATTTATTATGTCTAATAAAATAAATACTTGATTTTTCAATGGACAGCTGAGAGGCAATGTACCATTGCCCTTCACATAATTTGTTTTAGTGTCTGTGGGAAAAGTTCAAAAAATATTTGTTGGAAGAAAATGTACAGTGGCATCACAGGAAAATAACAAGCCACTAATTAATAGTTAAAACTCCATTGGCTAGAGGTAGCAGAGAAGGCTGTGCTGGTGATCTGGTGAGAATGAAGTGTTAGGAGAGTCAAGCTTCCAATGAAAGAAATCACAACAAATCATATCAAGAAAATATAACAAG